TGGAGGGGCGGGGGGTTAGGGAGGGTGGTGGTGGTGGGTATTTTAGTGGGCCGTCTGGTGCGGTGCTTGAGATGAGGAATCAGATGAAGGGCGGTATTGAGTGGATTTACAATGCGGTTGGTGTTGTGAATGGGACGGAGGGGGATGAGGTTATTGTTGTGGGGAATCATCATGATGCGTGGATGGTTGGCGGTGCTGGTGAGTTTTTGAGGTTGGTTCTGGAGAGTTTGGCTGATGAGGAATTAGCGGATCCGCATTCTGGTTCAGCGATTTTGATTGAGTTGGCGAGGGCTATTGGCAAGCTCTTGGAGACTGGGTGGAGGCCCAAACGGACGATTGTTCTTTGTAGTTGGGATGCGGAGGAGTATGGGTTGGTGGGAAGGTAAGTTGTATTTCTTGAATCACACAAAACTGTTTTCAGAACTTCAGAAATAACCTGTTTCAGCACTGAATGGGTTGAGGAATACACTCCCTGGCTTAAATCATCTACTGTGTCCTACTTAAACTTCGACGTTGGAGTCTCTGGCACCATCCCCGACTTCAGTGCTTCTCCCGACCTTCACTCCCTTATCACTTCGACTGCACAGAAGGTCATATGGCCCCATGGCGAGAACCGTACAATATACGATATTTGGGAAGAAAATTCTGGCGAAATTGATCTTCTAGGTGCACAAAGCGACTACGCAGCATTTGTACACCGCGGTGGGATTTCTTCCATGGATATTGGTACTACGCGAGCGCCCCTGGATCCAATCTATCACACACACTCCAACTTCGATAGCTATCACTGGATGGCTAAGTTTGCTGATCCAGGATTTGTAAAGCACAAGGCGATTGGACAGTTCCTGACCTTGATGCTGTTCCACTTAGTAAACGACGATGTTGTGCCGCTTGAGCCAGCCAACTATGATGTAGAGATGAAGGCGTGGCTTGTGGATCTCCGCAAGCTTGTTTCATCTGCGAATGCAACGGCTACAGTTAAAGTCGAGCAGCTTGAAGATGCTGTTGCGGTATTCGAAGAAGCAGCACAGCTATTCAATGCCACCTGTAAGATGGCTGTAGTCTCAAACAATGTACGTCTAATCAAGGAACTGAACCGCAAAGCCCGAGATCTTGGACGAGAGTTCATCAAGCAAGGCGGACTTCCCGGAAGGCCATTCTATCAACATCTTCTATTTGCACCAGGAATAGATACAGGATACAGGCCCGTTACTTTTCCTGGAATTACGGAAGCCGTTTCTGTGGGTAACTTCACTCTAGCAAACGAATACTTGGGAAGGACCGTGAAGGCTGTGCTGGCAGCAGCAAATATACTGGCGGCCTGAAGTCAGCATTGGTTCTTAGGCAAGCCATTTGGTATCGGTCGACCTTGAGACAGATGTTTGTAGGAGCTGCTCTGGTAACAATGATGTATGAGACAGCAGTCGGAATATCGCTTTCTCATTCTTCTGGTGCTAGTCAGCAAAGGTACGATTTTTTTTTATTGAATCTTTATAGTAGAAAAATTCAAAGAGAAGTAGCGAATCGCTCTATGCAATACTGTATCATGTTACATTGCCGATCCTCTCGGACTAAATTTAGTGTCAGACCGGTGAAAAAGCAGCCTCGTTGTTTTTTTCTACTGCATACCCTTGCAGGCCTAATCATACCATTGCACAGAGTTGAAATTTGTTCCTCTGGCTCATTTTTGCTCCAGCGGTTACGTGCTCAAAGCGGTTAAATGTGGGTATGCCCTTTGTGATTCATGCCAGGCAACCAGCCCTCCACATCACCGTCCCACATTATATCCACTGAACACAGTGTGATGGGCGATTTATGAGGCGGGACTGTGTGACTCAAGCGCCGTGTTTGCCTGGCCAGTTGCAGAGTAACGGGGAGAAAATTGCATATCTGCCACACGTTACAGCCTTGCGGTGGGCGCCTTAAACGGGGGGCCGCAAGTAGCATAGCCCATCACGAGGATATTTGGGGATACTTGAGGTGAACATGTGCCTTTGATTTCCAAAATCCATTTTTGTATTCACTTCATGATCTCTAAGCTTTTGTCTTTGCGAATCTCTTTGGCAAAGACTGTGGTTGCGAATAAACTTTTCCGTTTCGCCCGGCATCAGACGACAACTCAAACGACACATATTCACCGAGTACCCCCTTATATCCTCCGATTCGAATATTGAGACAGATCCCAAAGTGAATATGGTATCTTCAATCTTCAATGTCACGCTGCGCGGTGTACAGGCACTCTTTGGCATCATCGTACTAGGCCTCAGCGTGACGCTCATCCGCGGCCATCATTGGGGCCATCTTCCTGCCGGCTTGGGTTATGGCGGATTTGTCGGCGGGCTATCCTTTGTAGCTGCATTCATAGGGTTGGCTGCAACATGGTTCGACTTTCTGGGTGGCATGGTTGGGCTTGTCATCGACGGCGTTGTTGCGCTGGTGAACCTTGCCGGTGGTGTTGTAAGTATCGCGTCTCTTGATCAACATCACCGCTCTTTTCTTCAAATATGCAAGAATAAAGTACTGACTTTCCCAAAAGCTGTATGCTATTAAGCTGGCAGGCACAGACTGCGAAATGAGCGCCGAAGATCCCAGCAACATAAACAAGATGATTGAAAACGAGTGGTTCAATGGCGGTTGCCAGAGCCCCGGATTCTGCTGGAATGGCTACGAATATAGTAGAAACCCCTCGAAGCAAATAGCTGTATACGAGGGCCATTGTAAGGAAGCTAAAGCCGATGCCGTCTTTATGTTCCTGACCGCTGTTGTCATGATTGTCTGTGCGTTGCTGGTTTGGTTGAGGATGAGGAGGGGCTACTGAAGAAGAACAAGTCAACAGTAAGACACGCTCTCAAAACCTACATAACTAATAGGATATTTACTCAAATAGGTTTGATTTGTGGCAGCCAATGTGCAATCAGGACCTAGTATAACGATATCATATCTGCTGCGAAGTAGAGTTGGCAATTTCGAAATTGGTTTTGTAATGGTAGCATTTTCTCAGTATGCGATACCCAGATTCCTTCCAATTGTTGTTTCCTTGTATTTTACTCTTTATCAGACATTAGCAATGAGCACAAGTTTATTATAGGTTTCAGTACTTGATTGGTGATCCGTCAACCCAAACCTGGGTTCAACTCTTGAGGTGATACTAGCAACAAACAAATCGAGTAACAATCCCTCAACCTACCGCGTACACCCGGATATGATCATGGAATCTTTCCGTCTCTTCCAGCTTCCCAATTTTTCGGACCAGAAGTCGGCTGGCAGAAGCTGGCTCTTCAATTATCAACGCCACCAGCACTCGTCACCTTGATCTTCTTCACTGCACCCACTTTGCAGCTGCTCCTATTCCTGTAAGCAATGCCTTTAAGGGCACTGCAGCTCTTTTTTTTTCAATATTCCCGTAATTGCAATGAGTCTCTAGTCTCACAGCGCATCTGTTGTGCTGATGTTTTCTCTCTCATGATTTCCGTGGCATTGTCAGGTTGATGAGTTTGAATGAAAACAGTCGGCTGTTAGTCACACAATCCCTACGTACGTATGCCATGCTATTTATACACACTTGACAACACTCGACGCCATGATTTTTGGGATGGTCTTGTATGGGAAGACCAGAGACGTGCAGAGGGCATTTGGTCGTTGGATGAAAGTGTATATGGGGATGCGATGTAAAGAGGTGTATAGTGGTTGTAGTGCTTGGGCTGCCGTGTGCGCATGTAAAGAAGGCGCAAGAGAAATGAACGTTCATCAAGAGGCAAGCTCCTTTTGCAAGAATGTGACAAAGCAAAGAACTTGAAGACGTGACTATGATGCACAACATGTATCACCAGCCTGTGGGAATGTTGCTGGAAGTACTTCCATCTCGTTTCACTGAACCACACAGGAAGCAATAGTCGCGCGATAATCGCATATCTGCATTCCAAAACTCACTAATCCTATATGTCCATGCATCTCGTCATATCCATGAGTCTTCCAATCAACCTGGTACAAACGCCGCTTATGCACAACCTCCGGGCAAGTCCGCCCAGCCTTGCTCACTACGCCTCACTATGCAAATGATCCGAAGTTACTCTAAGCAGGGCAAGTCTGCGACTATTAGCGGTGATCTGATAGTAGGTAACGTTCTATCCTCTTCTAAGAACATACGCTGCCGCAAGATCCACAGCTCTTGGTGCCATCACTGATACCAGCGCCGCACTTGGGGCAGCTGGTGTGGTTGGAGTTGACGAGAACGGTGATGGACTGCATGTTGGTTTCCGACGGGTTTGTTCGGTAGGTTGGTAAAATGAAGGGCTGGTATTTGTGAAGTTGTGGATTGATGGTTTGCGCTGATGGCTCAGGATGGAGGGGTAAGGTGGGGTTGATATAGCGAACGTCTGCAGGGCCAGGCAGCCACGGCAGCATTAGGAAGCTAGTGTATTATCTGTCAGATGATTGCAGGCGGTAAGAGCGCTTGCAGTTATAATTGGGTAGTTGAGTGGGGGCGTGGGAAATGGGACGAGCCGGTGAAGATACATGTAACTAGGCTGGAGTCAGGATACGTAAAAGGACCGAGCAGATGGCACTGCGTAAAGGCGGGCGTCCTGTTGAGAGCAGACGTAGGCTTGTGATGATGCAGATTCATTACCTAACGTGACAGATGATCTGTCCGTTGATAACAACAAGCCAACCGTCTTCTTTCTTCTCCATCTCTCTGAAGGCCGCGGAGATCTCCTCCAGGTCTTGTTCCGTCGCATGCCCACTATCCAACGCCCTCTTTTTGTAGTCGCTTTGCACCGTTCTATCAGCCCAGAGGCCGCACCAGAACTCCCTCTCTTCTGGCGTGCTAAATGTCCAAGCAGCCACACTAGCCTCGATATCGCTTCTTGGGAAGCCAGCCTCCATCGCTATTGCATGTAGTTGCTTGCCAATGTTTGGATGAGCCTTGAGTCCCAGCGCAACCTTGATGTAGAGCTCCTTCCACTTGTGCAGCATGGGGTGATCCGGATACCAGTCCATGGCGCCGTAGTTACAGTCTCGGATGGCAAGGATGCCGCCGGCCTTGGCTAGTTGTTTCATTTCCTTCATCGCGCCTAGTGGGTCTTGAAGATGCTGCAGCACTTGGTGCGCGTGTACGACATCAAAGCCATGCTCTTCTACACCCTCGAGCTTGTTCCATTCGAAAATGTCACCAACTTCGAAGCGTATATTTTTTATTCCTTTTTCCCCTGCGTGCTTTCGGGCTTTTTCAATGACATCGGCGGAGGGATCGATTGCGTAGACGAAACCTTGTGGAACTCGAGCAGCGATATCAACGCTGATGGTACCAGGGCCGCACCCAACATCGAGTATCTTCAGTGAGGGGTTGTTGAGGTAAGGCAGGAGATGAGGACAGGAGTTTTCTACGGTGCGCCAACTGTGAGAGCGGAGGACAGAGGCATGGTGGCCGTGAAGGTATGGTCCGGACATTTTGGGCTATGCGGAGCTGTAAAAGATGATATCAATTCAATGAGCAGTGTGGAGTTTATACTAATGTGGAAATGAAGGGTGCTAGGCAGCAGGTATATGAATGCGTCAATGATGGCAGTCACTTTGGTTAGTGCCGGAATTAAGAGGAGATGAATTGATGGCTTTATAGTTTGAGGTCATGCAGCGCTTGGAGCCGAACATTCCGAAATCGCAGCCTTTTGATTGGGGTAAAGTCCTGTCTGTCGAAATGTTGCGACAACGGAGTGTCACAATACTTGTTGGAGTAAGAGGGCAACTTGCACTTTTATGTCCGAAGTCGGCCATCTTGGTGCTCCCGCTTAGTCACAAACACCCCATCCTTTGCGTCATCGATCCGCGCATCAGTCATGCAGAGGTTCTCCAAGAAGGAAATGTGAGTGAGTTTAGTGCTGCGATCTGCGGAGAATTCAACCAGCTATATGGGGTAGACCTATGTCGATATGCCACAGTACTATCACGACGTAGTCCACAAGATGATACTTGTATCCTTTCAACTACAGCTAAAACCACATGTCGCGCGATTTGCGAGATCTAAAAAAAATAAGAAGATTCAAACATAACCCTTGTCTTCAAGGCGACTCATCTAAACCTTTTGATACTCTTACTGTCTTATTCACTATATGATACCACCATTTTGCCATCCGAATATGGGGCGTAAACGACAAGTTTTAGAAGAAGTGCCCGTCGTTGGCTATGAGACTGGCTTGACATTGTTTAATGTATTCATATCTGAGTTACCAGGTGTTTCGAGAAAAACATTGAAAACAAAGGCTTTTGCATTGTCGATCTGATACCTCACGTCCGTTCGTCCTACATTATATTTCAAGTTCAGTTCAAAGCAAAATTTAAGCGATGACGAGAGCCGCAATCGCTATGAAGAGAGATTTATCTAGTAACAACGAAATCAAAACACGCTCCATGCAGAGTCAACCAACAATCGTCATGACCTTGGAAATGAGAGAAGTGGTTCCGAGCTACGTAAAGTCATACTTGAGAGCTACTTGGGTATAGTAGAGTGCTCTTCAACTAAGATAGAGTCGTTTTACACTTTAATCATTGTCGACTCCATTCGATCGCAGAACGATAGATAGATAGTGTTAAGGGTGCTGTGCCTCGTCAAAGATAGAATGTACAAAAGATCATTGTAAGCAGGAGCACACCTTTTATAGGACTATCGATACTTGTATACTAATACAGCCTAGCCTTTACTTAGAGCCTTGGTACTGCACCACAAACAATCAACACTCTATCTACTTCATCCTTACCTAATCTCCCTTCCAAAATCCACTAGAGCCGGCGTAATATGCAATGCACAATCCTCCTCATCTGCACATGCACCCGAAATCCGGGTAAGCACATGGCCGCATTCTTGCACGCGCACCCATACCAAGGAAATGAACTTGTCACAAGACCCATGTACATACGATATGTACATTCAGCCGCACCATTGCATTGGCGCTAGTACCGGGACTATGCATCTTGCTAACAATGCAGAATCTATAGCCTAAACAAGGCAATAGTATGGACTTGGACGCAACAAGCACATGTCGTACAAGCCACAACATTGGCGCAACCCATCCACCGTTGAACCACACACCCAAGTCACACTTGCACGCAGTATAGCAGACATTCACCCTCATGACCCCATCTCTATCCCATACGCACAATGCACACAACCCTTCGTGATACCCCACAAACAAACAAAACCCATAACCCCATCACCACCATGCTCCACCCGGGGAGAGGCCCAGCCACGTCCCAGCAAACGCCACAAACTCGCGTACCCGCACTAGTCCCAAAACAGACAATGGTACAATAATCTCCCAAACTCACTGCCGACTACCCTCATTCCACTTCCTCTCCCAAGGCACAAGCAAGGAAGAAAAAAACCCCACCATACATGCACCTCATACCGTAGACTCTGACCCACATACCGTACCAAAATGCCCCCCTCCTCTTCCTCCTCCTCCTCCCCCAGTGTCCAGGGCGTAAACTCCTTTCACCCCAGCTAGCTAGCCTAGCCCCACATTCCCGCATATGTACATACATACACTATGCAAGCTTTCTTGTTACATCCCCCATCCCCACTTTGTGCGTCGATGCAGGCGGCGGCGGCGGCGAGTAACACGGGAAATCGCGAATCACTGCATTGACCATGTTTTTTTACTCTTTTCTTCTTTCTAGGGGGGAGGGAGAATTACCGAGAAGGGTAGGTGAGGATAAAAGGTGTGGATTGTGGGGGAGTTGCATTGTCCGTTTTGGATGTTAGGGGCGGCCGAGGGGGGGTTTATGCGGTGGAATGGGGGAGGGGGGGCGTGCGTAGGTGAGTGGTAATGTACGCTGGGTTTATCGGTGATGGGTGTGTGTGTGTGTGTGTGTGTGGGTACTTTTGGGTTTCTGGGGGGAGTGGGACGAAGAGGAATGATGTGGAGAGAGTGGGTATGTGTGATTGTTTGGTGTTGAGAAAGTCACACAATGGTGTGAACATGTGAGAAATGGCACCAGCGATATTGGGGATATTTTGGATTACTTATGGCCAGTGATATGCTGGTGGTAAACTCATAGCTAGCACGAAACCCACACCTAAACAAAGAAAAAAAAGACAATTCCAAGTTATCCAATAGCGCCGTCATTTTTGATATATCATTAACACAATCGCTATCGCCATTGCTGTTACCACTACATTACACCTTCTCAGCCTTATGAGCCACGCCCCCAAATATCTTCTCACCTCCCAGCTCCCCCCTCACAGGACTAGGCTCTGCACTTCCCTCCGCAACCGGAGCTTCGACAACAAACAGTGGCTCGCCCTGTACATCATCCTTCGGGCTCAACCGCCAATTATGTGCATTCTGATTCACACTAGGCTGTCTTCCTCTTCTCTTTGGCAAAGGCGGTGGCACAGTGGCTAGCTCACTGGCTGCAGAACTCGTCCGACGTCTCATCTCACGAAACATTTCCTCGCCATCTTCTGCGACTGGACGCGCGTCTTGACCGGGAAAGTGAGCTGCAGGTAGTAGTGTTGTCGGTGTAAACGAACCCCGAGGGCTGTCTAGATCCTCTACTGATTGCTTACTCGAGAGCGGAGGAGAGGCTGTGACGGGTTTTCGTTTGGTGAGGTTTGCAAATGTAGAGGTTGCTGCTGCTGGAATGGCCCAAGTCTGTCTCTTGTCGTTCTTGGGTAAGGGGAGTGGGGTTCCAGGCGGCGGAAGCGGCTGACCTCTACCCATAGGTTCCGTGTGTGATTTGGAAATAGAGGGCGAAGTTGGAACCTGTAACCTAGGTTCTTGTAGTACCTCTACAGACAGATTTGGGCCTTCGGACGTTGGCGGTCTGTTGTTAGCAGCGGCTTTGTTGTTCTGTTTCGCCGCCAGCCAACTTCTTGCTGCTGCAGTAGCTGAGTTGAGAGACTGGTTAAGAGTCTGTTTCCTAGTCTGCATGCTACTTGCTCCTGCTGCTGCTGCGGCAGCAGCAGCAATTTCTTGCTCAGACAGGTCTCTGGACTTGGCTCTAGTGTGAGCGTAATCAGCATTTGAGACTGGCGCAGACGCTGTGCTTTCTGCATATATTGACGGTGCTGACGCGTCTTCCGAGGAGCTGACTGAAGATTGGGTTGCTCGACGCGGGTTGCTTGGCCGCATGGGTGAACGCAAAGGGGTTGTGACAGGAAGGGACCGAGCACTAGTCGGCGTCGACCCGTGTTCGTGCGCTATCTCTGCAGAAGCATTGGCCGAATCGACCTTCACCTGCGCCATCGAAGAGGTTGACCGCATTGTACGTGGTCTTACCGATGAGGACGAAGATGTGTGATCTGCAGAGGTAGAAATACCAGTCGCGACTTCTTCTGATTCAGCACTGGAAGAAATGGAGAAGTGTGCACTGGCAGAGTCGCCCTTCTCGTCAAGTTTTTGCATATCAGAAATGGCAGCGTCAAGCGTGGCGTCTTTCTGGCTGGCCTTGTCCGCATCTTCACCCTTGGTTTTACAAGTGTCTTCCCAGATGCCTCCTCTGATGACTTGCGCTATCGTGTCTGTGAAGGGCATATCGTCCCAGTTGGGAAGCACCAAAGTTTCATTGACGACTTCCCGTATTCGACTTTCAATTGCCCTCAAGACAACACCATAGGTAATCTGCCGTGAACTGACGATTGGCTCAAGAGAGAATTCCATCTTGGGTGGAGTCTCGAAGGTCATCCAAAGCCGGTTGCTTGGCGGTGGCTTGATCCTGATGAGAATGTGACCGTCGAGCCTCTTCAATACCGTAGCCAAGATGAGTGTCACCTCGCGGGCCTTGAAGCGTGTGCCCAAATCTATGCGTACGGTCGCGGATACCTCAATGGAAAAGTTGCCCTTGTAACTAACATCAGCTTCGACAACAAGATCGCCATCAACAGTCAGCTCCTTGAGCTTTGGATTTGTGATGAAAGGCGGTAGAGTGCCCATGTCAACTTTGCGCAACTGTACGCTGCTAATGATGGCGGGTTTGGGAACGCGGGATATCTTTTTGTTGATTTTCGCTGCAATGAACTCTTTGATCTGCGAGGTCTTGTACATTGCTAGGAACACCCTGCCAATGAGGGCATTGATCCAGCGGGTGTGAAGGTTCTCCTCCGAAGCATGCAGCTGTTGTACCAGCTTTACAAGATCGGGCGTTTCAAACTTTAGCGGAACGGACGGCGATTCTGTGTCAGAAGGATCCTTCTGGTTTTCCTGAGCATGAAGCATCGCGTGATAGAAGTCTTCCTTCTCAGAGCAATTATCAGAGAAGAGAAAGAATTGCTTTGGAGTTGCAGTGCTGTCATCATGCAGTTGTTGGACCAGTCGAATGCCTAGCTTCGTAAGTACTGTAAGGGGCAATAAGAGAGTGTTTGCAAAAGCGTACAATTTCTCTTGATCCAGAGCTCGCCCTCAGGTATGCGCTCTCCACCTCCGTATATGTCCACCTGGTAGTGAGCTAGCGAAATGACATGACGGACTTCGATTTGATCTTCGTTGTCGTAGAGCATGAGGTGCCCAAGGCTGGTATTCAGTCAGCCCGTAATTTGGAGGTGCGGTTTTGTGCAGCCAACATACCGCAAGACGACATAGAAGACATTCCGCGCCTTCTTGTTCTTGTTATTTGCCGCATCTATTGTCGGACTTGTAGTTTTGTTGCGATCGAAGATGCTCCTGTACATGGACTGGTAGACGCTGGGACTCTCGACCGCCACGACGGTACCTGCAGGAGTGGTTCGATCCGGAGGCTTGCCGTTAACGCCGCCCGGCACATACTCCCGACACACAGCAAAGTACCCAGCGCAGACATCCGGCTCATGTGTCCTTCCTTTTAGCTTCTCCAGTATCTCGTCGTCTATCGCTGCCCCTGGGTCTGTGTCGTCCCCTCCTTTGCTATTCACGGACCCGTTCGATGTTCTGCGGGGTTGTGAAGCTTGTCCATGTTGGGTGGAAGCCGAATCGAGGCTGTCGTGTTCAACGGGCGTAGTACACCAGAACCATGCAATTGTAAGAAGAGCAGGCAATAGGGTCAGTCCTCCTACAAGATAACCCCATATGAAGATGTTGAATACGGTGCCATACCCCCAATCCCCGCCCATGTTGCGTGACGTGTTATGCTATAATCCAGACCATCCCTCGCCATGTAACGTATGCGGCGCGAAGGTCAGCGTGTGGTATAGGAGGGCAACGTGTTCTGAAGCATCGACCGGAAGTGTAACCTCGAGTAGGGACCCGGGTAAATCGGCGCGTCGAGGCAGGGTGGTAGCGAGTGGCGTTGGGGAAAGCAATATAGCGGGCGGCAATGTTCAAGGGCTGGCTGGGGCGATCAAGTCAAGACAGAATCAAGCAGCGAGCCCCTTTGGACAAACAAGACTCTCAAAGTGAAGCACTAGCCACGGTAGTCATCTGACGCGAGGCTGACCGTTGGAGCTAATAAGCTATGCCATGGCCCATAGCATGCTATCCACGGGGCCACGCCGGAGACTTAGTGCTCCACATGTGACGATGCAGGTCGCCGATCGGCGCTAAGCGAACCCTCCCGCTGAGCTATGACGGCATCTCTGACATTGCTTCCGTCCCATCTCCTGCGAACACGCGCCTCAGGTACAAGTGTAGTGTATACATATACACATGTACATACTATATGTATATGCATGCATACACACAAACACACCCAGGCTTGCGGTAATCCGGAGAATTCACGCGCGCAACACGTCCCTGAGCGGTAAGTGGCCAAGCGCCTCATGTGGCGTCACGGTTGGTCAGCTATGGCGGGGTCCAGCTGATAGCACCCTTATCTTGGAAGGGCACATGCAAAGTTATTTCTTTTGGTTCTCGACTGCGTCTCCAAAACATTCAGGTACTTCCCCACTTCAATTGCTCAGTTGAGATATATTCATATCTTCAAGGCGGGCCCGGTGCACTAACATGGTCTACCCAGAAAGTCATATCTCTACGCTAGCCAGCCGTACATGTACCCATAGAGCAGTCCCTGGGACTTTTGTCTAAAAGAAATACAAGCAATAGCCAAGGCTAGCAGAAGCCGACATGTCAACCACAGAATCCCAGTCCTACACCCCTGACATACCCTCGGAGCCTGTCACCAAAACCACCGACAACATCCATGTAGAGCTTACTCCCCACGACCTCGACTCTCTCGCCGCCACGCGCTTTGTCCGCTCTCCATCTGCAGGTGCGACTGTGCTCTTCATAGGCACAACGCGCGACTCCTTCAACGACCAGCCTGTCTCGTCATTATCCTATACGTCATACGCGCCCCTCGCCATCTCGACCCTGTTCAAGATTGGTACCTCTATACTTGCCAAGCACTCTTGTACCAAGATCGCCATCATCCACAAACTAGGCGAATGCCCAATTGGTGAGGAAAGTATCGTGATTGCTGTCTCCGCCCCACATCGCCAAGCGGCGTGGAGGGCCGGCGAAGAGGCGCTCGAAGAGACAAAGGATAGAGCAGAAATATGGAAGCTAGAAAGATTTGAAGGTGGTGAAGGTGTTTGGAGAGCAAACCGAGACGGCCAAAAGGGTGTCAAAGTGGGATAGAGTGGTGTTCTGGACTTTGTATACATGAGAGCACGCCTCTAATCTTACAGCGCAAGCTTGAATGATATGTACATAACTTGTTCGCATCTCACCAGATTGCACGTGATGCTTGGATTAAAAGAAGATACCTCTTGCATACGAACCAGTGCCTCGATTACAGACTCAGAAGGAACAGTCCTCCCCCCTCGGCGTTACCGGAGATAACCCATATGCCGTCATTGCTTGTCAGACACCCACGTTGAGGCAGTAGCTTCACGAATCATGCAAGACACACTGCAGTTGAATACCGCCTTACCTGCGCCATCATGGGTCAAGGAGAGTCGCACGAAGCGCCTCGGCTAACATTAGGTATGCATCCACCAGACTCTCCGCTCCCCAATCTAACGCCAGCCAGAGCAGCTCTCCCAAGCCATCGCTGAGCGATTCGCACAGAAAAGCTTCACGCCTCTCGAGCTCTACTGCTTCAACTCTGTATTCCGCTCGCTAGCTGACACGCAGTCTGGGGTGCACTACTGGAGCGAGACTACACTATGTCGATTCTTGGAGCTTCCCGACGCGCTGGGTGTGGGCTCGGTCGTCTTTCAGATGGCGAGTTACCTGGGAGCCTTTCCGCTGCCGAGTCAGGCCCCCGCCATTCTAACACATGAGGCGCTGCTCAAGGTTGTCACGATATTGACAGAGCGATACGGAGCTGTGGTCAAGAAGAGAGGGAGGGAGATTTGGTTGAGGGAGATTTATCGCAGCTTGGCGATATATGACAAGGGGATACGGTCGAGCGTAGAAGAGAAGGAGAAAGAGATGGCCAAGGATACGGGGAATCAGAGCGGCAGTAACTTGGGATTTGCGATCGATGCACCAGAAGGAGATGAGGGAGAAGAAGAGGACGAGGATGATGAGCTGGTGTTGGCTGCGCTCGAGTCCATGGATGCGATTGATGCATTCAAGCAGGGAGATCACACCAATGTCCACCACTCCATCATACCGTCAGACAACTTCTTGAAACTGGTGGAGCTGTTGCTGCTCATTGCGCCGATAGATGCACAGCAGAGTCTCTCGAGTTTGGCACCGAATCTATCAGACGACAGAGTCGAAGAGCTTCGGCACGCTGCATATGTTATACTATCGTCGTTTGGCGTCGAAGACCATCCAGGAGTCACATATCGCGTCTTCAACGCTGTCATCTCAACAACACTTCCCTACCTCTTCAACGGGCTCAATCCACTATTCGAGCACTTCCTTTTTGCAAAAGACTTTGACCTTTCCAAACGCAAGCCAGGCTCCACATCACCAACCCAAGAGAATCACCCCGTTATCCCACCACCAAAAGCAGAACTGGAGCCAGTCCTCCGCGAACCAGGCGAGATACTAAATCTAACCACCTTGAGCCAACTCTCCTTTTTCATCAAAGGCAGCAACCTCTTCCGACGCCTCCGCCCCCTCTACAGCGGCAACACCCACGGCTTCAGCATGGGCTCCTTCGAAAAACAAGTCTTCAACTGGCGCGCCCCCACCATCCTCCTTGTAAAAGGCCGTCTCCTCCCCGCCACTCCCTCCAGTACCCGCGAACGCGCACTCCAAGACATGCTGCCACCCAAGCGCCACGCAGATAGCATCACACCCGGCTCACCAAACCAGACCCTCATCTACGGCGCATACATCCCTACCCAGTGGAAACACACCGGCAAATCTTGCTTCGGCGACTCCACCACCCAACTCTTCCAACTCTCACCTACCCACGACGTCTTTACCGCGTCGTCGTATAGTACAGATTACACCTACTTTAACAAATCGCCAACACAACCCGCAGGCATCGGTCTCGGGACCCCAGTGCCCGCTCAATCAGCTTCCTCCTCCTCATACTCTTCTCACTCCGTCTTCCGCCCCGGTCCTGTCTCCTTGCATCTCGACGACGCGCTAGAGTTCGCCATTTTTACGCATTTGGCCGAGGGCGGAGGCTCGTTTCTTCCGTCGAAACTCCCGGCTAGAAGGGGAAAGGATTGGCAGGATCGATTTGAGATTGAGTGCTTGGAGGTTTGGGGGTGTGGTGGGGACGAGGTGGCGGAGCGGCAGCGGAAGGAGTGGGCATGGCAAGAACGAGAGGCTGAGGCGAGGAGGAGGATTAATCTGGGCACGGGGGATGTGGAGATGGATAGGGAGTTATTGAGGATGGCGGGGATTATTGGGGGTGAGAGGAGTGGGGGAAGTATGGGGTAAGATGGGAGGGTTTTGTGGTGGGTATTTGGGAAGAGGTTGGTGGTATGAAGTAATGATACAAGTAGACGTTTTGTTTTCATTCAAGAAGGGATAGATGTTAAAACTTGTATTTCAGTTTCTCACAAATCCACCCACCTCCTTATGCAATACTCGAGTAATTCCATATATTCCATCGAATACCCTTTGTTTTCAAATATTTCCAGAAAATAAACGCCCATAATGCCTCTAGCACATGTATATCGTACACCCTCTCTTCCTCATCATTCATCCATTTCATCCTTGCCTGCTCAACCATTAGCCTTCTCTTCCCTCCCTCTCCCCTCAAGGTAAAAAGAAAGAAAAAAGGACCCCCCCCCCAAAAAAAAACTCACCTCTGCTTATGCTTAGGATTCTTGGAACAAATAATATACACATATCTTCCTTTCTTGCGCCTCACGCTCTTACACCCTTCACACAATTTCTTAACCGAGCTCCGGACTTTCATGCCGCGCGTTTGTCCAAATCCCAACCCATTGAACCGCGAGGCCAAATCCCCAATTCCACCACCGGTACTGCTGCGGGTTTGTAGTGTGGGACGTGCGAGGAGGCTTGGGCGCAGGCAATTGCAGCTCGGCGTGTGGATGTGGGTGCGTTGCGTGAGGCGCGTGGAGAGCGGGGCGCGGGGAGGGAGGGCGCGGCGGAGGGGGAGGGTGAGGGCTTTGGAGAGCATCTTTTTTGCGCGGTGAGATGGGGAGGGGTGCGAGTGGGTGGCGTGGCGGAGAGGGAGGGGGTGAGGGTGGAGTGGTGGTTGTGGAGGTGTTTGCGGAAAAATGTGCCAAGGCGCTAGTGGGGGTATTGGGGGACTGAGGGGATGGAGGGTTGTTTGGATGGAGGTTGGGATTTGAATGGTTTTTTCTTTGCTTCTTGGATTGCATATTTTGGTTTTTTTAAGGGAGGCTCTCAGCGGGGAGTGTTTTTTTTGTTCTTGGGAATGTCTGGGTACATTGGTGGGTGGGTTTGATGAGGTACATACTTCACTCCTGGTGCTTGAACTGTTGACAGCTCATGTTCGAGCATGAGTTCGTGTGAACAGTGATATTCGCATATAGACAAAAAATCCATTATATATAAGAATACCCGTGTTGCTCTGAATTACGTCGGACAACTTATACATACGAAGTATTCCAACGTAAGAAAGAATATAACAAAACTCCTACTCCATCATAACAACCGAACTTGTCAAAGGCGTGATAGATGAGACGCTGAAAATTTCATCCCATCTTCGATGAAGATATATGTCATCCAAATACCAATAATATTCTTGCCCGCAATTCGATTTCCTGGGTATCAACTGCGGTTGAACGAATTCTCACTCGCCGTCTCCTACTATATCCCGTGCCGCATCCTTCACTCTCTCACTTGAATCAACAAGCTGCCGTGCCGCCGTCTGAATTGATACACTTTCCCGCCGCATAGTCTTGACTGCGCTTTCGAGTGTTTGTGTGCGCGAACGAAGCCGATTGATTTCCGTTCGGAGAACATTAATGGTCTCGGTTTGCGACGAAGACGAAGGAGCATGATTCTGGGGCGTCGATTCTCCCGGTACTGGGGGGTAGATCGGTGTTGCATGGTGTTCTGAGCCGGGTGTTGGCGTGACGTGATGCTGGTCACCAGTCACCATGGCTTCTTCCAGCACGCGAATCCGCTGCTCCAACTCCGTTCTCTCTACGTCCCATTTCTTCTTGTCATCTACTCCCTGGGACTGCAGGCGATTTGCCATCTCCATGATGCGCATATATTGGGCTCCGTTCGCAATCAGCTGGCGTCGAGCTTCATCCCGGCTCTGCTGCAGCTCCTCGGCTTGTCCTTCCAAGGCTACAACTTGACTTTGCAATTTTTCCTTTTCGTCTGTTAAACTGTTGATCTCACAGTCACTGACTTCAAACTTCTTTTCAAGAGTGACACATTTTGTTTTCTGACGTTCGAGCTTCTGAAGAAGGTTGTCGTATTCGCGTTGGAGAGTTCGGAATTCTAGCGTCTTGATGGTAACCTGGTGTTGCAAGTCTTGCAAGAGAGTATTATGTGCTGAAGCATGGGCGGATGTGATGGGCGGAGTCATTGATGACAGGCTTTGAGAACTTGAGAAGTTCAGCGACGATGGCGAAGGCAATACGGTTGGGTGTACGGGCTGTGTAGCCTGTGTTGGTGATTGTGGAAGCATGTACATTGCTCCAGAGGACGCTGCTGTTTGCTGTGGCGAGCCCCCGGCAGCTATTGATGCTATGCCATAGGGATTTCTTCTGGAGTCCTCTGGAGATGCATTAGAACGCGTGAAATGTCCATAATCATGGTGAACTGGGTACGGTCTTCTCAGCGGAGACTGTTCCTCGCGTTCCTCCAGATGGTGCTGAGCTCTCCGCATATTTGGCGAGTCCTCTGGTGGAGATTGTGATCTTGTGTTATGTATCGGTTCCTGCTCCAAGTGCTCCTGCAGTCGTACATTACCCTCATGCACACGATCGAGAGCCCATTGCAGTAACTCTTCAACGTTGGCGTGCCTGGAGGTGGGTGGCTATTGGAGCGCATCAGCATTGCCATGTCTTCAACAGAGGCTGACGCTACTTATCAGCAAGTGTGAATGCGTATTGGGACGCTTACCTGGGACGAGACTTGTGGCTCTGTACGCGTCAGATCATTGAGTTTATGAACTAAGTCGCCCAGGCCTGTAGCAAGTTTGTGCATCAAAGAGCGTGAATTTGAGCATACCTGGCCCCTGCAATCAGGTGGACAACAAGTTACTGGCCTTGGTGCAGACACCTGCTGAGGAATAGGATCAGGATCCACGGCCCGCTTGGCGCGTGGCGGGCTAGCACGCAGTTCAGGAATCAGCGAAGGGATTGTTGAGAGCTCTGTAATCGTTTCAGCTACGAGTACGGATGAGCGAGTCGCAACTCCGTTCTTCGAATGGATGGAGAGCACCACGCCAATAGTCATCATAGCCTATTCCCCAGCTTCTCGGCTAGCATAATTTACATCTAGTAAAGAAAGACAATGGTACCTGTGTGGTGTTTGTGTGCACTCTGCCTTGGATGATGTTCGAAAACATCGAAAAGAGAATGAGAGCCACGTTCAGATCTACTCAACTCGAGTGGCGGCGGTGGAGGCGAGCAATGTGAGGCGATAATGACAGGGCTAGCTGAAATACTGTATGAAGAGGCGAGAAGCGGTGGCAGTATCCGACAGTCTAGAGCAAGGCTGTCGCGAGCAAAGAAGCCGGCTTGTGGCGGGAGCGGGGAAACCTGCCGGGCAAGGGAGGCAGTTAGGATCGAGCTGCGACGCTTTGGTTGAACGCCAACGCTTTCTTCGTTCTCCCATGGTCGTTTGTCGCCCGCACGAGAATCCATGGATATACCTGGCCTTGTATTCACCTTCTACGAGCGGATGCTGACGCCGCCTCGCGCCATTCGGACTCGCGATTTACTTTTTAGGTATTAGTAGTGATCAATTCTAAAGAACACAACAGGTCTTCTCAAGGCCCTGCAGGTGCTGAGAGATTACTAATAACAGGTGAAACGCGTGCGTATAGGCCTGGAAAAAGGTGACGAGCGCTGCGCATAAACTTAGCAGCAGTCTGGGTATGGAGCCTATTCCGGAACGACACCAGCACTACAACGGAAACACATGTAGATAATCGAACGTAACGCACATTGAAGACGCAGTAGTACATTCAGTGTGGCGGACTAACTGGAGCGAAGGCCACTACCGCGAACTGTCAGTGTACCCAAAGTGCACCGCCAGTACGTAAGCTAATAGTCAACGCCACTGCTGTACCATACCCTGGTTGTACTCATAGAACCCGCGAGCAGGAGAAGCCAAATCTGTGCAAAAGAGGCCACTAAAATAACAAAAGTGCTTAGGTGGATGAGCTGGTCACGAGGAAGGGGGGCCGATGCAACACTTTGAATCCGCTGGCCTTGGCGACAACATGCCGAGTGGTAAAATTCCAGCAAAGGCAATGACAGCAAACTCCGAGATGATGTTGCGTGGGGATGAGTGCTGAGTAAGATGGGTGGATAATTGTTGGTAATGATGAGTGCCACCTTGTACGAGGTTAGCGCTACTTAGTCAGTATTAAACAAACAAGGCCTCCCGAAGTCTTGTCATGCCATTTATGAAAGCTAACCGAAAATCGCTGCCGTCTGGTCTTTGCTGCACCTGCGTATTCCTCAAAAGATAACCGTGTCGGTAATTTTCCAACCTCAGAGGCAGAGGTAATACATTGACAATGTCCAGCTAGCTGTACCCGAATCCTTGCCGCTTGGTGTGTACTACAGCCATGTTGGAATGTGTCATGAATAACCATACCTGGCCACGATAGTACAGCGCAACAACAGTGACTAATCTTCCTTGAGCAAACATGCCGCGGGAGCCGCTTGATGGGCGGCGGGTACATGTGCGCATACTCCGGTACACATGAGGAAGAGCCCTATGGATGTTTTCCATCTAGCTTTGGCCGTCCATCGTCTCAATCTCTCCAAGCCGTCATCTCCCCTCCGCTATCCGATGCATGCATGCTGACGTCTCGCGCAATGGTCCGAAGACGGTCTTCCACCCAAGTCTTCTCCCTTGAAACGACTTCAGTCTCAATCTTCTGCATTATCTGCAGCTCATCTAGGATCCCACGCAAGATGGTCGTGCATGCGTCGACCATGGATGCAATGCTCGATCCGGGTGTTGGTAACGCCAGCCTTTCTAAATCATTAGCGAATACGGTTAACTTCCGGATCAGCGCTGCAGTTTCCGCCTTCCATGAATCTCCGAGACCTTCGATCGTTCCAAGGGCATTGCTTCCACTAGCATGACCTCCCCGGGCAGACCGTATCTCTTGCACCCACGAAATCCATTGCTCAAAATCTACTACGAGACGCTGGAGACGACCGCCTGGCTCGACCAGCGATGGAAGCTCATGAAGAGGTTCTGAGAGAATCTGTACATGCTCGACTAGACCTGCCGTCGAGCCACCATTGCTCCATTCAAGTAAGGATTGGAGGTTCCTCTGTTCTTGACCAGCGCGTTCATTTTCTAGCATGACCTGATGCAAACTAGCAACCTCGTCAAACTTGGAGTGCAAAACACGCTTTGCACTCTGCTCCCAGCGCTGACTCACGTCCGCAGATGACCGATGTAAGAGATGGAGTTGAAGTAGGTCGGACTGTAGACTGGCTATCTCGGGAGGAAGTGAATGGGATACAGGCTGAGGAGCGGGGTTGATGAATGACGCAGTCGGGGCTTTGCCGGTCTTGCGTGGTGTGAAGTGCTGTTGAAGGGTACTGAAAGCGGGCCGACTGGTCTTCTTAGTTTCATCTGCAGCGGCCTCTTTCCGCTTTGGCTGGATCACAGAAGATTCTTCAGACTTGGATGTCACACCACTACCGGCAACAGCAGCTGGTGCATCGGACCTAGTCCTGACACTCGCCGTGCGTCCTAGTCCTGTGGTCCTTGCCGATATTCTGGAAGTACTAGGTACTGTATCTACAGAGGCATTGCTGGCCTTTGTAATACGGCTTGGTGCTGTGGAAATAGATTTGGGACGCTCTGTGCCGGTAGTTGCCTTTGCAAGATCCCGTCTCCCGGTCGATATAGTACTGGTAGACTGTGTACGAGCGTGGCCGCTCAGTACTGAGGACTGGCCTATCTGAGATGTAGCAATTGGCTTCCGTAATGATTGAGACCGGCCTAGTCCAACCTTTTGAGGCTCAGCAAGCTTGCTCACTGAAGTAGGTGGACGTATAGAGCGGGAGCTTGTCTTGTCACCTTGACCAGCCGATTGGAATGAAGGAGTACCATGTTGGTACACTGCCCGTGGACGGAGCTGTCCTGGCGCCGTGCCTGCAGCCTGGTCCTCTTGTGCTGACGTTGCAGCCTTTGGCGGTGACTGGGCATCACTTGAGCTGGGTCTCGTGTCCTCGGCCTCAGGCTCAGAAGGTTCCGGAAGGATACTTGAGCGAGTGTTATATCTGTGCTGCCCTGGCTGTGGAAGCAAGCTGCGAGGCTTCGTACCCTCTGCATCACTCTGCAATGAGGCGACAGTACCGGCATTCTGGCGTCTGTTAGGTTCTGCCAGGCCATAAGGCGAGACTGGAAATTACCCGGGACCGTGGAGGTGCATTACTGATCCTTCCTATTTGTGAGACAGGCTTAGCACTCATGTTGACGCAGACAAAGTTATCGTCGTGGATGAGCTGGGCTGGTGTTCGTTGTCGAGCAAGTTGCAAACACACGAAACATGGGGATGTTGACGGGGCTAAAGCTCGGGGCATCTAGCGCTAAGCCTAAAGGGGCCTGGGACTGTTATCGATAGCTGTTCAGGTATGACGATGGAAGCAGAGGGCTTGAGACTAAAGTGAATAATGCCGTAGATGGTTCGTAATCTATTGTACCTAAGCTGACTGTCTGACACAATGCTTACTTCGTGATGCGGTCGTCCAGCTACATGATGGATTTCCTGTCGCGAAAGCACAACCGCATGCAACTCTGAGTCGGGGGTCACGCACATGCAATTGCAAAGAGGTCCCGCCTTTGCCGCTGCAAGCGACGTAGCACAGAGTGAGAAAGCATACTTTGCAAACCTCATGCTCACAAGCTGCCGCGGCGAGCTGGAAAAGACACACCCTCGATAGCAGGGTAGTCAACGAACCAGCTTACCCGCTCTCCGCCCTTGTGGTTCACCAGACCGCACGGCAACTGCTGTCCCTCATCGGTATCAAATATCTGGCGCATGATGTCCTTCTTTCCTCCGCCAGTCGCCACAAAGGCAATCTTCAGTCCGTGTTGCGCAACGGGGAGCGAGATGGTGATGCGTTTTGGCGGAGGCTTCGGAGAATCGGAAATGGGGAGAACCCAGGCTTCGGTTTCGCGGAGAAGGTCGGAGCCTGGGAACAAGCTGCAAGTGTGTCCGTCGGGTCCGCAGCCCAGTAGAAGCAGGTCGAACAATGGTAGCTTTACGCTGTCGCGGGCAGCAAAAACGCTGACAAGCGTCTTTTCGTACTGGTCGGCCAACTCTTGTACATCGTCGAGATACTTGACGTCGATTGGGTAGACCTTGGGTGTGCCTAGTTCTTGCGGTATCTTATCCAGAAGCTCCTCCTTGACCAACCGGTGGTTGCTGTCTTCATGGTCGAGGGGCACGGCGCGCTCGTCGGCATAGAAAATTTCCCATTTATCGAATTGGACCTTGCCTTCGCCATTGGTCTCCTTCAAAAGCGCTTGCGCCAGCGTCTTGGGCAGCGAGCCGCCGGAGACTGCGACACGGAAGACATGATGACGGTCGAGGGCGGCATTCTGGGCATCGAGGATGTAGGCGCGCAGGCTTGGGGCAAGCTCGGCGGCACTCTGAAAGGCGTATAGATTCGGAGGCTTTCCCATTGTGCAAAAGTGTGTGTATGTGAGTGTGTATAGTGTTGGTGGAGTGAAGTTTGCAGGCACGCGGTGGAGGGGTTGGCCTGGTTGGTGGGGCTATGTGCCGGTATTTCGTGTAGCGGGCCAGTGACGATAGTGACGTGCGCAGCTGTTGATTGACTAGTTTCTTCGATTCTACGTAAAAACAAAACGGAGAGAAAAGATGAAGGCGATAAAGAAGAAGGGTTGGGGGACTGCCTACGAGATGAAATCGAGGTGCAGTCGGCCCTCGTAGCCGGCGTCCATTTTGAGCAACCCGTGCAGCTATTTCCGTGGCAGACGTCGCATTGCTCTCCGGCCTGTCATGGCGCGATTTGCGCGATTATTGAGGGCTACCGCAAGGCGCCAGAACAAAACATTCAAGAGGCCCTGATGAAAGGATGGAAAGAACAGCAACAGAAGTATACTTTTCTACAGCAGACAGGTGAGCACTGCACATGACCGTCACCGTCAAGCCACCAATGAACAACGTTTGGACAACGGGAGGCATTTAGGCCTAGCCCATGATGCAGTCATGTGATTGTCCCCGCTACTCTACATCAACACATTTGCACGATGTATATGTATGTACTCTATTGAACCGGGGAGACATGTCCAAAGCCGGTGCATTAGAGGAAACGGGTGTGAATGGGCTTGCATGCATTCTGCTGTACGCCAGCTCGTAGTCAGCGCATGTGTGCCCATTTGGCGGTAGACTAGAATGAGAAAGAGAGGGAGTTGCAACTGTGGCTCCTTTGTTTGCTTATTCACTCTACTGCATGTCGAGCAAAACTCTGGTGCATCGTGTACCAGACATTTCTGAGCACGTTTGAGTACGCTACTATAACCAAGACATGGTCCAGAGGAACGATGTGCATTGTGCATGTTCGAACCACAAAGAACCACGTCTACCTCTTGACTTGCTTTTTTATGACCTGAGAAAAAAAGCAAGAGCATATTCCTGGCCGGGAATAGGCAAATTGGCCAAGACTATGGTGTTTGCTAGGACCCGTCAACTGCCGGAAACTTTGTGTTAATGCAAGACTCAGATCGGACCATATATAGTTTCGATAGGAGCGCTCTCGGTGGATAGTGGCTAGGCACGAAAGAAAAAGCCTACCAGTTCGGACAAGGCGAGGCAGATCCTGTACCAAAAACATATAAGGCGGTCCCATGCACAGACTTTTCAAGGGAAAAGGGGCGCAGAGGACGATAACGGGCGACGCTCCAATGAGTGGTTGCCACAAGATGGTGCGCTGTTTTGCTTTGGACCAGGTGGAAGTTATTCAACAGAGGCATTATTGCACAGGGCATGCAGGGCTAGGTCATGCAACGCACGGTTGAAGGCGCACCCTGAGGAGTATGATTGCGACCCAAGGTCAACTGCTGAGAGCGCCTTTATGCAGGTCCACGTCGACATTCAAACACGCAACGAGCGAGTATCACTGCGCAGAATCCCTCCGAGATGTGAGGCAAGGTTTAGACCGGCGGCGCCATGGGTAGAGTGCCGTTTGTGCCGTGCTCTTTGAAACGCCGTGGCAGACAGCCGGGGGACATGTCTGGCACGGTTGCATGTTTGATGAAGCGGTGAAATATGGAAGAGGATTGATCCGTTTTGAGCAGGACAGGGTGGTTAGGGGATCCTGCATAACATGGAGCAGCGGGCGGGTAGGTAGGTAGGTGCAAAAGCTGGGGGAGATGTGTATGCAAGCAATGGATGGGTAGAGAAGCGCGTCCAGTCTTGACTTGATTGCCTGCTGCTAAGGCAGTGCTAAGTAGGCATAGTGCAGGGGCCTGGCATGTTCAAGGTGGTTCCTGCAACGTGACCTGGTGTTCACGGCCGTGGATCTAGACCGCGAGCCAACGGTTCGGCCCGCTAAGAGACCGACGATGGGCTCGCAACCACAGGCTGCGAGAATAGCGGTCGCAAAGTCCGCGGTGCGAACTGGAATCCATGGCTAGGAGAGAAACTACCGCATGGGGAACGGGTTGTGTCGACGGGCAGGTGGTGTTGGACGAAGGGTCGGTGGGCTCGGCAAGCGGAGAGGAGGGGGTGTGGGTAGCAGTACAGTAGTAGACATACGCGCGTTACTCCGGAGCAGTGGGCGAAGCGGGCGTTCCTGGTTGCGGCATGTGTGTGAGTTGATTAAGTCTGTTTTGTATAAGGATGCGACGGATGGCTGCGGTCGGTGGTTGCGCAAGCCGTGGGTTGCTGAGCAACAGATAGGCAGCGGGGGGGCTGTGTCAGGCACGCATACGCGCATTCAGTCCGTCAGTCAGTGGCATAGATGGTGTGGAGTAAGTAGTGTACACAGTCAGCCGTAAGCAGCCGGTAATACGTGACGGCGACAGCGACGGCAACGGCGACGACGTGGTCCGGAGGGCGAAACGCCCGTGGCAGTGGGCAGCGCACTGGGGCGGGAACAAGCTGCAAGCGTGCACATGTTCAGTTTCAGTTGTGGATGCGATCAGAGGTAGCGGCGATGTGGTTGATCTCGATGGCGACTAGCAGACTAGCAGAGGGTGCTAGCAAAAGAGTAGCAGACAGCGTGAGTGAGTGGGTGTGTGGGCGCGGGGACACGGCGGACATAGGGCAGGTGGGCATTCGGGGCCCATTGGGCGGCGGTGCAAGGGAGGCCGCGATCGAGACCACACCCTGGATCGCCAGTTGCACGCCCTCGCTCAGCCGGCAACCCAAGGCAGCCAGGCCGTGTGAGTTGCCCTTGGGTCGCCCTTGGTCGCCCTTGTGCTTGGGAGCGCCCGGCACTGTCGCAGTCGCATGCCCAGCCACATGCCAATCGCTGCTCGTCTGGCCCTGGCCCATGTGCATGGCCCGATGTGTTGTGCGAGCATATATCTACCCGGCTGCGATCCCTCGTACTGTCCGCTGATTCACACCCCCCGTCATCCAAGAGCACAAAGACATCCACCTCGACATACCATGACGGCACATCACCTCGCTTCAGACGACCTGTCCACAACCTTATCCACCACCCCGTCCCTCTGCTACTTCAGCATCCTGCCCGCCGCACACTTTTCTGCAGAGACGCCCTCGACCAGCCCCGTGTCCGAGTACCAGGCCTGCACCCCTTCGGACCCCGCCAACCCACTGCTGGCCTTCCGTCCAGGCCCTCTGTCGTTCATGTCCGCCGACGCCGACGCCTCGCGTCTGCTGCAACTGCAAACCGACGCTTCCCACCGGCCCTCGCCAGATCCTCTCCAGCCACAGCCTCGCGCCTCGAGTGCCTCGTCCAACAGCTCGGCCAGCTCGGCGTCCAGTTCCAGCTACACACCCCCATCAACGCTGTCCTGTTGCCGCTGCCGCCGCCAGTGCCTGGCCAACATGTACCAGATTGGCACCAACCGCTACTACTGCAGCCACTGCGCTAGGATGACTGGCTACAGCGCTGGCTGAAGCTTGTCCCCTGGCCGCCCCACACTGTCCGCTACAAGTACGCCGACGCGGCTAGGCCGCTGCTCCACTGCCTGGATACATCCATCCACCCACCCACCTGCATGGCTCGACAGCTCCTTTACCACAAACACTCTTACATGCACACACGACTGTGCTATCAAGGCGCCCGACACTACTGCGACTATCACTATCACCCATCACTGACACTGCCACCTGCACGTTCAGCCGTAGCTTGGAAAACATTGGCACCGAGGAAATAGGACCGAGCGCATGATTATGAAGCGCCACTAGAGAGGCCCGAGAAGGGAATCAAGGTTAGAGGAAAGAGGGGAAGAAGCGTTGGCAGCGTATATTGGTGCCCATCAGCTGGTACCCAATATCTGGTTGCTGCTATCTGCATCTGCACGAGACAGGGAGGACATGGGCGCATTGAGCGCCAAGCCAACTATATGTACATAGAGCTGGACTTTGCAGCATCACGCTGCACTATAGCCGGCCTGTTTGACGATGAGAGAACGAGAGAAATATGATACCCCCTTGTCATTGTATACGAGATTGTGTCAAGTACTGTTCAAATTGATTGATTGATTGATTGCATTGTCGTCGTTGGGCAAGTGAGCCGGCACGGCAGTGTGTGTGCAAGTGGTACGCCTGGTGTCGGGGTGAAGTGATAGGCTGTCAGTAGGGAACAACTAGTACCTGCCAAGCCCCCGTCCAATGTCCACACAGCATCCGCCGATTGCTGGAAACTTCACAGTCGCATACATGGGGGGACAGGCACACTAAACCTCCAACGGCTGCTGCCCCAGCTATACTTACTCGCTCTCTACTCATACACCATGTACATATTTGCATGCGATGCACGCGCATCCGCATTTGGATAAGAGCCGGTCACGGTGATTAAACGCTTTGTCGCTGGAATTGACGCAAGCAGTGTGCAGCCACGACAAAGATTCACAATGGCTACGACGACTTCAGATGGACACGCAATATTGAATGCCATCAGGCACGTCAGAATCAAGGCATTGTAAAACATTCTTCGCCCCCGCGCAACCCACCGGTCGGCGTCTGGCGTCCAACTCCCGTCATAGGGCCCCACGTTGATCTCACTCTATTCTCCGCGCCCAGTCCCTCATCAATTGTAATGGCGTACATACGTACGTACGTACACAGGTTGCCGTGCAGGGCGTGTAGATGTTTGCCTGCTACAGTCTAGAGTCGCACCTCCGTGTTGCATCTTCCATCGCCGATGTACAATGCTCGCCGCTGATCGCACTACCACATCTTTATTGTGCCGGAACGTTAGACTTTGAGCAGGGCGCGGTAGTGGTAGCAGGCAGTTATCTTGGTCGCCGGTGTAGACGGCGAAGGGGGGATGATGGCACGGAGCACGCGCAAAAGTCAACTTACATAACACGTCCCTTCTTCCAAGGTGGCGTTCGCTAAGCGCAATCGCCCTTTCCACATGCACGTAATTGGCCTGATGAGATCGCCCGCCCAGATTAATTGTGGGTATGGCAATTGTGCAAAATCCGATCCCCATCGCGATCCTGACACCCTTTTGCTTCCATCGACAAGAGAAAAAAGAGTGGGGTGTTTGTGCGCATGCGACGCCACCATCATCGTCCCGCTTGCCCTGCAATCGACAAAAGCCTTTGCCCTTTCGCGTGACGGGCTGATTCTGGTGCAGATTGGGAGCCGTGTTTAATCAACTACCCATCTTTTCTTGACCCCCTCCCACTCGCTTGCTCACGCACGCCCACCACGCACACACACATACACATGCACATCCAATATGCAGGTTTTTTGCTGACCCGGACTTTGAGCCAGAGATCGCGGGATCGCAATCAAACTGCCCAACCAGGACAAAGGCATCCAGTGTCCAATGTTGGTGTCAGATGCCTCTCCGCAGCGCATCGTTGGCTGCCTGCCCCTCTCTCCAGACAAACTTCGTTGCAACAAGGTTCGCTGGGCCAGTTTGGTATATGCGTGTGCGGGAGCTTTGTCTACTGGTGTTCCCCAAAAAGAAAACCTTATTAGGTTATCGAGATCCTGTTTATCGATCCGCTAATGCCCACAACTTTGGTTACGCGTGCGGGGATAACGATGGCGAGAAGAGGGGAAACACAACCACACAAGTGTGTTTCGCATGTGTCGAGATCTTGCGATGAAGTTTCCTGGGCTCAACAGGTATCATCCCTCCGCTGTCATTTCTACCTCACTCTTTTCTTCTCTCCTCGCGCGGCGCTTGCGACATGTGCCGTCATGGGATCTCAATTGTGTCGGAGCCTGCAGTGACATTTCCCTCGGTCGCCAAATCACATCATTGCCGAGTGTACGCATTGTCGCCTCACTTGACTAACAAGCATGCAAACGCGCAGCCCTATCGCGTCACCCGTCCAATGCCTTTTCCTCCAAATCATGACAGTTGGGGCCTTTCCCCAAACCCTCTTGGCGTTGGTGACCCCGCGCACAGTCTCCGTCTTTGACACATCGACGATGTCAGGCGGCCATCGAAGATCTCCCGTGTCCGATGTGGATGCATCTTATTTCCCGCCGTCCGTGCGCACCTTTTTTTCCCACCTGCCCTGCCGCTGTTTGACTACTGTTTTTGGGCGTCTTCCGTCCTTTTCTTTCTGCCGATTTTAAAAGGGCAATCGAGATGGACAGGCATCATGGTCGTAAAGGTCAAACCGCCGCATCCACGCTTCCGTCTTGATCTGCAACGGGAACCAACCCGTGCCGATGCACAACCATCTGCCATCGACGATGACGAACAGGTCCCAGCACCCCGGGTAAAGTAAAAAAAATCACTACGCTTCCTTCAAACAGCCCGCGTTGCCATTATGTTTTCTTTCTCACCAACCCTAGATGTAAGCTGCTCCCACCAACCTTATTCGCTCTCTAGCATGCGGTACGATGCACGTCGAGAACACACCATTCAGCTCCTCAAACCACTTCACAAACGCCTCAACTCGCCGGAGTTTAGATAAGGCCAAGTTCGCTAGCTCCCCAGTTCTCTAGATCAGATCTGCTCTAGCGACCAAGTTACGCAAGAAAAAAAAACCAGGCTGCAAGCAAGAAAAAAACGGCCTTGCTTCTTTCCCTTGTTTTGCCCTTGCGCTACGCATCCCGCATGAACCTGACTCTCTTTTTTTCCGCAAACGACAAGTCTCCACACCGGTCTGGGCCCTTCTATTTCCGCATCTGTCCTCTCCTCACCTTCTCCCCCTCGCACTACCATGTCGAGTAATCCACACGATGTCGCAAGAACAAGACAAGAGAAAAAGTAACGATCCTTCTATTATTTAATTCTAGGCGCTACATCCGGCCGCTTTACCCAGCAACCCGTAAACCTCTCCTCTTAGCCTTGCCCAACACATTGCTGCCCCGAGTAAATCCAGTTTTTTTTGTTTCTGAGCCCATAGCATACCATCCGCATTTCTTATCTTCACGTCGCGATCAAAGTCTTCATATGCATCACGCATTGTTTATGCAACAACTTCTTAAGCAAGAAAAAAAAGGACCTATGTATGGGGACACATTAACTCCGCTTTCCCGAGCCTACTAGTCGTCTGTGCCCACACACGCACGCACCTACGCACGTGTCTAACAACATCTACCCGCCTACCTTACCCATCGTATCTCCCCTCCCCTCCCACTCCACCCGAAATACATACCAAATCCAGTAGCTCTCAAGTTATCCAGTAAACCCAAATGCCGTGCATAAGCAAGAGTGGGGGGCGCGGTCGCAATATGAAGCGTTGGATGCAACGCTTAAAAAAAGTTGCCCAACCCCCGACCCCCATAGCTTAATAGTGTCAGTGCTTCATGCAGGGCATCGGGAGATTTCTATTCTTCCCTAATCTACTTGACCTATCTTATTATTATGTTTAGTGATCAATGGATGGGTTTAGGGGCTTGGCACCACTTGCGCGGAGAGAGAGGATGGAAGGAGAGATCATGTGCCGAGGTGCGTTTTTTTCTCTTCTCTTCTCTTTCTTTGCGAGTGATATGTATGTTGTAAGTTGGTGTGCGGTGGTTGCTGAACTGCCGGGCATCGGCCGATGAGTGCGGTAGGGTTTGGGTATACGAGGTGAGGAAGAGAGGAAGGGGGAAGGGGCGTGACGCGGCGCGCTTGTTGTTGTTGGGGGTTAGTAGAGTAACAAAACTATTGTCTACGGTATACTAGGAGGCTCTCTCAACTTTTAGCTTTGTTTTTTTTTGACATCGAAGATTGCTTTTAGTCGTTTTTTTCTCTCTCTTCCGCTCTCTCTTCTTTTTTAGTGGAATCGAGATTTCGTTGCATCGAGATGGGGGTAATTGGGAAGGTGGATTCGTGATGCAGAATGACGAGGGGAAGGGGGGTTTGGTTGGTTTGCTAGCGAGTTGATACGGAGTCGGCTTTGTGTATGTGCATGTGTGGTGTCATGCGGGCGAGTCAGGAGGAGATGATGATGGTGGATTGTATTGGGGAATCGAGAATAAAACTGCCTAAGGGAAGCAAGAGAGAGAGAGAGAGCGCGATACGAGGTTTGTAGGCATAAAAAAACAGGTTAATATGGTCAAGACTTGGAAGTAATGTGACATCGCAGCTTCTTCTTCTTCTTCTTCTTGGAGTATGGATTATGATTACTATACAAGGTAGTTGTACTGCGTCAAACTAGATGTCCCAAAGCCCAGAAGAGCAAAAGGAAAAAAGTGTAAGTTTCGTGTGTATCAAAGCAGGTAAATCAGTAAGTCTTGAGTGAAGCCCCCCCCCCCCTTTCCCATCGCTCCACCTCGTTCGTTGATCCTTTTCTCCTCAAACCTGAGGTCGCCGGCTACGGATAGCCGGATAGTACAATGTAACACTACCAATGATAAAAAAGGTTCCTGTCCAACCAAGTACTCTCGGCGACAAGACTTCCCAGCCACGCTCGTATCGAGCTTCGTGTTACTCCGTGTTATCGAGACGAGCGGCTTTCATCGGGCGTGCTCGTCAGGTTGGCGATGACATGTCTTGCCATGTCGCGGACGTCGCCCCCCAATCGAAGTAGTCAGTCCTCGTGGTGCCACATCTGGCCTGCTTCGTGTTCTTCTGCGGTTGGCCTCCAAGCGCGGCCATCGTAATGCCAGCGCGCTTTCGTATTGGGTTAGCTGAAATGCCACATGCTGAGCTGCACGTGATGTCAATGGCTATGATCACGTCTTCAGCCGCAGATGACTGATTGGTGTTGTTGGAAAGCAGGTCATGGCCATGGATGTAGTACTTCACGTTGTTGTTGTTGGGTGTCAGGGAGTCGTTCAGATTTCATGTCACACGGTTAGTGAAATCCATATCCTTATTCTTAATAGGGCCATGTTGCTGCTCCCAATTCTTCAGCGGCACTTTGTTGACCTCTGAGTTGGCTTGGTAATTAAATATTTTCGAAGAGATGGCCCACTGTAATTATATTGCGTATAGCCGCTGAAGTCCCATAGGCGTGAGATGGGTTTCGAGACCAGGAAATACTTCTCATCTTTGTGATGTCCTGGTTGTTGGTATAGGTAATATGCAGTAGTCACCAAGTAAATTTGTTCAGCAATTCGGTCAAAATGCCCTCCTACACGTACGGTTTTGAAAGCTCCTTGCCATCATTGGAACCAGAGACGAGAGGGATAGGGAATGATGCTCTGGAGTTTGATATATGACTCAATCGTGCCGACCAGTTGGATATCACTATTTTGATTGAAAAAAAAACCGGTGTAACACAGTCATACGTGATATTTGCTGGATCTGGACTTCAAATCATCTCTTCCTTCCCGCGTTAGAGTGCCAATTTTGGCACAAGGAGTCGAGGGATTCGCACTGAACGGGGACATCATTGTATCAATTTCCAAAACCCGGTGAACTTAAAATATTACCAAACCTCACTGCAGCCTCTGTGATTCTTTTCACAATGACAACCATGTTATACCAACCTGGGCAAGTGACATGAAAACCCCACTCAGCACATGGAGTTACGTGAGGCATTCTCGGGGGGGATTTTGGAAGTGCAGTCCGGGAAAGAGGAAAATCGGCCTAGGTCGGATATCTTGGTAAGATTGGGGTTCGAAAAACCTTCGCTAAGAAAAGGTCCGTTGGTTTCTGTTCGATTGGCCAGTTGGAAGTGACAGTGATGCATACAGCCTTGACATTTCCATCCGTTAATATACGCCATGGTACATTTTACATACATGGGTGCATCAAAACACCTTAACCTACGGGTCCTTGGTGAAGCCGGAAAGCTACATAGCAGGTGCTCCTACCAATTGGTAAGCCGCCGGCCTTGTGCAGAGAGACTTGCTGACACTGCATGAGTTGCTTATCGAGTCTGGAATTACTCATGTCAGGGATCAGAATGATTCCAAATACATGTATATAGTCCCCAAGTATCCGGTCGAGCGGCTACAGAAACCTTATTTGCGTGAAGTAAAGCAGCCTATACCACATAACTTCTGATCAGATCCATATCCGACAAAAGGGATGAGAAACGAGTCTTTCTCATGTTACCTATTCAGATGAGAAGCAAACAATCCACCACATATTCAAAAAAAAACAACACTCCGAATACCGCTTCACCAAAGTGCATGCTTATTACCAATCGCAACAGCACGCAAACTCAGGGACTTGGCAGATACTCCACTCTACAAACATCCCAGCCCTACCAAGCCACTTTTCCACTGCCGTACCTTTACCCGCTGCGCTTACTTGATGGACCGTGTCCTCTCCATCCCCGAGTCCGACCTCGGATATAAACCCCCTCCTCACTCGGATTCTTTCCTTCGGCAATGTAAGCACCGGTGTCATATAAGCATAATCGGCGTGTACACAGTAAGCGATTCCTTCCCGTACCGGACCGCCTGTTTTAATATTCGGGAATACGTGGGACGCTTTACCTACCAGATCAGAAGGGGGAGGGGGGTTGGATGTAACATAAGTAAGCATGTACGGTTTCCCGGGTTTGTGGAGAGTTTTGGTAGTGTGTTTGTGTTGCAGTTCATGTTTTGTGGGCTTTGCAGCGCATGTGAGGATGAGGTGTGGAGGGGCATGGTGTTGGGCGCGGGAGTGAGAAGAGGGGTGGGCATGTACGTGCTTAGCCTACGAGTCGCGGAGTCGTGCAGAGGTGTTACTGTTCTTGTTGCGCGCGATAAGATGATATTCGGACCATGATAGGGCTGTCTAAAGTCCGTACGTATCCGAGGTGAGAGGGCTGAGTATACTATACCGTCTAGTATACGGACATTACACAGTATACAATAAAGCTATACTCGTGTCCTATACGCTCGCATCTCTAGCCATATTTTATACTGACGAAGTATTGTAGTCTTGTATACTAGGGTCGCTGGTCTAGTATTATATATGTCTTGGAACCGTACTAAGTATATCGCCTTGGGTGGGTACCTTTCAAAAGGATCTACCTATCCTGGCATCGATCGCATACCAGATTCTTGGAACTTGACTCATGGTGACATGTCACGTTTCTTGTCAAGATCTCAGAAGCAGAACACCAAATCATTGTTGCTGTTTTTTTCTTCGACGCAGAAGGATTTGGCTGTCGGAAGCATGGTCTCAGGGTCCAGAGTGATGATGCCCGGCACGTGATCTTTACTCCTACCATTTATCTGATTTGGCATACTCGAGCAGCCAACTCATCACCGTCTTCCAGTGCAGAGCTATAATGGCATTCACGTAGACTACAAGCTTGCAAGATGCCAACGACCCAGTATCGAGACGCTACATTAGTCGTCGCCACCCTTGTATGACAGCCCTCATTTCCGCACGCTCTTATAGTACCCGAGGTGTCCGGCTCTGCTAGCCTTACCCGCAACACACAGTCCATGTGCCAGCTCTCTATTCGCAATCAATCTGAGTTGTTTTTAACAATAAGAGGCACACGACCTCTGGTGACGCGGCAGCACACCTACGGTCCAGGTGCCGTTCGTTTCGTGTTGTGGTCTGATTTTCCATCGGGCCTTAGTCCTTTTTGGCCTAAAAGGGAAACCCATCATGCCACTTTGAAGCCCGGGACAACGTGGAAGTATGGGATCAGCTTTCCATGTGACTGTATGAATGGGCTGTTTTTTCAGAGCGGTAAGCTACTTTAAGTATCAGATTTCTTGGTAGTTCGGCTGTTTTTAAATCTTATTGTCCTTTTTTTTCTCTTCACGCGCGTTCATCTTTTGAGGTTCTCTTCTCCTTCCTGGCGGGTTACACGTTCCTCTCCTGGGCCATCTTGGACCACTTTCATTCTCTCTGCACTTTCGGACTGTTTTGAATATACATCGACGGCCCCACAGACCTCGTATTTATTTTGTTCCTTGCGCATTGCAACATTGGCAGATTGCCAGTCGCTATCCAAACGCTTGTTATACCGGCCCGAGATTTTTCGGCACGTTGAAATGATGATAACAAAAACCTTTTCTTTGACAAACTTTGTCATCGGATCGTCTGCGCTATGCTTCCAAATCTTCGTTCTCTATCCATGGCACGAGAAGCTTGAAGAGGAGTTTGTCCAGCTAAAGAAGGAGCACGCAACGTTGCTGGAGGAGATGCATCAGAATCACAGGAGTGAATTGAGGGGGATACGGGAACAGCTGGAGTTGGCAAATGAGAGGAGGAAGACCGGACGATTCTGGTAAGCGGCTATCGCTCACGGAGATGGAGGCCAGACATGGTCAAGGGGAGGAAAGAAGAAGGGGGTTACAGATGGGTGCATTGGGAGTGGAAGTTCTGGCCATGTTTCAATAAGAGGGTGAGATATACAAGATGAGGGTTTGGTCCGCAAGATTCGACTTGGGCTGGACATGAGATGATGTCACCTTCGCGGCGCCCAACAGAAATCATAGCGTGAGCATGGCCATTCGGCATCCAGCCACGATCCATTCAAGAGCTGAACTCGGCCCGCAGACCCTCAAAGCGTTTCAAGATCTCAGATCCCAGAGGGGGAAGCACATGTCAATCTGGAATACTTCCCCCGAGCTCCAACCATTTCCACTACACGCTTGCAACTACCCGATCTGGAAAGAACGATAGCCTAGAACTTTAATTTGGGAACCAAAGAAAGAGCTGTGTACAAAGTCTATTCAGCAGTATTCAGATCTCCTTTCCTCAAGACTATTAACCGCTTGAAAAAAAAACTTTACCATATAGTTATATAAAATGCGAATATAACACAGATCCACACATACACACATACATGCATACCTTTTACCAATCCTAACACCACAATTTCCCACTAACCACCCAAATATTGACCCCCCGTTCGCCCTTTTATTCAAGCTCCTTTCAAAGCAACCAGACTCAATCTTTTCTTTTCTTTTGCCATAGGCTACGATATATGCAAATCTTAAACCTTTACCGTTCAAGGAAACTTGTAGCGATGAAGGGGGTTACCCAAGTTGCCCCCCCCCCCCCCCAAAAAAAAAAAGAAAGACGGGGTTGTGGTTAGCGTTTATTGCCACTTAGGGTGGTAGAGTGTATTGGATTTGAATTCGGATTGAATCTGGTTTGAATTTGGGATCTACAGGGTGAGATCGGGGGGGAAGCTTGGAAAGTGGATTCTGAAATGGGAAGGGGCGGAGAGGCGCTGGGAATGAGTTGTTTAGGAAGGCAAAGGTGATCGGCGTGGCTTTTTTTAAAAGTGGAGATGGGAAGATGGTAGTAAAGTTTATTTGTAAATGTCAAGTGATTGGGACGGGAATTAGGATTTTATTTCCTTGGGCTATGTTTCCCTAATGATGCATACAAAGTTAGTTCGAGTGAATGCACTTACTTCAAATTACATTCACCACCATGTGAGGGTAGGAGCGTTGAGACGGCCGGTTTGTTCATTTGATATCAAGGTGCATGTACGTAAGGTGAAGAACCCCAGAAACATGGTAATAAAAAGGCAAAGAAAACATAGCCGTGACCCCACACCACCCGGGGAACAGGGGGAAACAAGCGAGAAAAAAAAGAAAACAAGAAAAAAAGAGATTAGTAGTGCGGAGAAAAGGTATAACGCCATAGGTGTAATGTCGAGCCCCAGTCTCCCCGTCCAGTCCCCTGTCCATGCTACCAAATGCCCTGCGAACCTGGTGATAACGTCCTGGCTCGGTAGCACCGGGCAGCAACCATGGTCCGCCGTGTCCGATGTATATGCCGCGCTAAGTCAAATCTGCAACCAGCGACAGATGGGAATGCCAGTTTGCATGCGTCATGCCGTGGCATTCATTTACATGTCCAACCCTCCCCCGAAAAAAAACATGTGTCTGGTGGAGTATAGGTATTGGCACCGAGACGCTTGAGAAACGCCGACATCGGGGCGAAGAAATGCTGGGCGGTAGGTTGGAAACCGCCAGTGTGGGATATCGAATCGTGGTATGTATGTGTGTTCAAGGCGCAGAGTAACAGTTTCGTCTGGTATGTGCATGTCTATGCCTGGACCTCCTTCTTCTCGCTCATGGCTCTCGGTCGGAAGACGGCGTCCTGGCCCGACATGCGTCGGCCGAGGGCGCGATCAAGTTTAGCACCCAGGGCCAGCTTGCTCATGTCGTCTGTCTTCTCGTTGCTCATGGCGTATCGTTGTTGGACTAGGCGCTTGTCCTCGAGACGGTTAAAGCCGGCGTTCCATGATTTGATGTCCTGCGACTTGGGATCGCCGGCGGTTGACGAGGCTTCGGAGAGGTGCGAGGGCGCAATTGAGGGAGTCAGAGTGGGTGCGGCGCTGTAGGTGGACATGCGGGTGGAGGCGCGTTTGGCGGTGCTCTGGGGTTTCTTGTCGTTAGACTGTTCTTGTTGCGACATGTTGAAGGGACGGTGTTGTATTGCTGTGGTTGCGGTGAAGGTTTGGGAGGGAAGCGGGAGCGATGTGGGAAGAAGAGCAAGTGCAAGAAAAGTGCAGAGGGGATGAGAGGACTAGTATACTGGGCCCAAGAGTGCAGGTGGTCCATAGGCACGCACCGGCCATGACTAGGGCATGTCTGAAACGAGCAGTGGGTACGTAGGGACGGGAAAATGGCTTACGTTGGCAAGTATGGGCCGTGAAGACTCAAGGGAGTTTGTCATGGTGCGGGCTGAAAAGTTGGCAGTCGAGGGCGGTAGGGAATGACTTGGTGGTATGTAGTAGCAAATGGTGGTAGTGACAGTAGTGGTGACAGAAGTGGTTTGGGGGGGGGACAGGCGCCCTACTAATACCACGCCAAGTGTGAGACGCAGCGGTGACGGCAAAGACCGGAGCGGGAGAGATGGATTCGAGAGTAGACCGCTACCTGGTGAACAGAAGGCGACAACAGATGGAACGTCGACAAAGCCCGCCGCCCTGTGCTGGCCCAGCGTCGCGCCTCGCTTGTTTCAAAGGACCCAGACGGGCAAGGGAGTGGCCCGAGTAGACAAGATCTACCAGCAGGGGGGGCATGCTAGCCAAAAGGTTCCAGAGGTTACGCCGGCGGGATCAGACGCTGCTGTGCACACGATATCCATGTACGTATGTATACACATAGATACAATGCCCCCTCTCTCTTGGCAGCATCAGAGAGAAAACGCAGGCCTTGTCTTGGTGTTGTGGTGTTGATGTCCCAAGTGTGTGTGTGTGTGTGGGGGGCATGGCACGCACACAGTGACATAAAGACAGGAGTCATGCATCGACACAATCTCTCCACGAATGCAGTGCAATGCATGCAAGCAACAGTCTCTTGATCGCTGTGACACGAACTCTATTCGTGTGTGCATACAGACTCGTGTCCAGCCAGCCCATACCACGTCTCTGCGGTTGCTCTCGTGTGAATCCCGGTCGCTCGTATGGAAGTACTTACGCACACAGGCGTCATGACTAAGTACAGTACCCAAATGGCCATGACAGGCTACAGCCCACTTACAGCCTTTACAGCGTCTCGGCCACGTTTTTTCCTTGTGCGGGAACCCACTTTGGCCGCCGCTACCGGCCTTGGTACCCTGGGGGGTGGGAGAAACCCACTGGTACGCGTGTGCGAGGGCGCGTCTGAGTGGTGGTGCCCCATCAACGGCCCGCATCGCAAAAGGCCCTCCTGCAACCACACACAATCACCCCTTGGTTGCTCCATGACTAAGTAGGTTGCAGAACCTCCTGTCTCCATGGGCTGGCCAGCCCCAGTCCCAACGACTCAATCAATCCATTGGCATCAACACCAGTCAGTCGAGGCGGAGTGCTTTCTTTTCTTTTTCTCTGGCCATCTCCAAAGTGCACCTAGATCCCCCCTTTAAACCACTGCAGCTAGTCGCTAGCACCCAGCTATTCAGCTCGCCCATGCCCTTGGTCATCGGCAGAATAGCAGCTATCAACCAACGTCATGTCGTAATGAGCCGCTCTGGGTTCGTCCAAGACCCTGGACATGTCATCTGTACGCCTCCGAATGATGCCGCGGGACGATTTGCCGTTTACTTTGCATTTGCGCTGATATCACCAACCCACCTTTCTGCGGTCTTAGCCCCTGCCCGATGCCTCTTTCTTCATCTCTTGTTATTGTTCGATCCCGTGTTTTCCAAATGAGTCAAAGATTGTCCGATCAGCTTCCCAAATGGACTGCGTGCAGTCAGCTTACTCGACCAGAAGGCATCGTCGAGCGCTGATCGTTAGTATCGTGTCGAGAGTCTCAACGCGATAGCGCCGTTGAACCTGTCCAAGCGCGCTTGCATGGGACTGAACGAGATGGGATGCATGCCCTGCATGCCCACGTGGTCAGCAACGTGGACGCACGGCCGTATCGGTGGGCCCAGTTGGGCCCCGGGTCAGGCAGAGAGTCACGCCAATGCCAATGCTGAAACCCAAGGGAACGGCTATCACAATCGGTGAGCGTTATGCGCCTCCTCAGCATCCATTCACACGTTGCGCTTAACCCGGCACGACCATACATACACCATCGCGTGGGGCGGCTAAACTGTCGCACGCTTGATAACCGACCTGCTGCCTCCAACTCCTTTGTCTCGACAATTCAATACTCCTATTTGAACCTGCGTATGCACGTATGCGGCGCGTCTTGACAACTGCCATGTATCATGCAGTGTGATGATGACGTAACCTTTCAAACCCGCCCATATCCGACATCAATTCACATAACCAAGACCGATGCTGCCTCAGTCACACTCGTCTGAGAATAATGGGGCGGGCGACAAACACAATGCGATACTGAAACGTTTGAGGCTCACTGGGCCAAGACGCCGAGCAAAGTAGATCACTAGGCTATCCTTACTACAACAAAGAAAAAGTAGCTGCCGACCTAACTAACGGAGACATGTCCCCGACTCTTTTCAATTCACAGTGTTGGCCATGGATTCCCAGGCAGAAAGTCGAGTCATGGAAGATGTTGTTAGAATCAAGCAAGAAACAGCAGACTTGATGACAGGAACAAACCACATCCATCAACATCCGCCTTTAAGCTGGCCTTGACCTCATACTCGTTCATCGCTTGAGCATTCGAACTCTCCGACGAATAAATCGACCAACATATAACCATCTCTAAGAAAAAGAACAGTCTACAATAATGGAAAACAACAAAAACATACCTTGACACCTGACCATCCTCATAAGCTTGGAACATGCACCGACTAACCATAGCCCTCGGCAAACCATCCCTCTCTCACCTGATCCGCATACCCCTCATCCAACACCACTTCAGCAAGAGAACAAAAGAGAGTTCATCCAGACTCTCACCTAACAATCCCAAACCCCACCTGATCTCCTCCATACTCCGCGCTAAATGCAACACCGGACACCTGGTCCGCGCTTTCCAAAAACTCTACTTGACCCGACCAAACCCTCTAGTTCCCTATCCAACCCAACTTTCTTTTCCCCCACCAGCTCCAACGACCCTGTCTGCGTTTGCGTAAATGATATAGTTGCGGTCCGTTGATTAGTACTTCGCTTGATCGGATTAAGCTGCGACAAGAGGCGAATGAAACACAGTAGCGGACCTAAAGAATGCGGAGAAAATGGTACGTTTCTTCAATTGAGTTTGGAGCTGTGGATTATACCGGAGACGCTGCAAACAGTAAATAGGTGGACAGTGGGCGTGAAGGTTCTCGTATGGGCGAAAATAGTCATTTTGAGACAATGGATACCTTAGGGTTTGAGTAGCGAAAGCGTAGGCTTGTGAGAGGTGCAATTCAGCGTAGTTGCATGCCGTGATGTACTATACATGTGCGCGTATGAACCGCAGTAGGAAAAATATCTTTTTTTTACTCGAAGAAGGGAAACCCTATGTAGTAGATCACATGCTGCGCAAATGCTAGCGATCCAAGGCGCGTATTCCTAGGTATAACAAGCAGTTGCAGATTCACAGTAGTAAGTCTACTTTGCTATTTAATCAACGACATAGTTGCAAAAACAAGTACCATCCCTTTACACCCCATCTTCCCCAGAATCAACCTCCAAGTATTCTCACAGCGTTACACTGCAGCAACTACCAAGATCACATTTCGGAACTTACCCGCCACACTCAGATCTGACACAAACGGCACAAGTTTCAGATGTATGTATATAAACAAAGCATGACTTGCATTCTCCCACAGAAACGCCGCATTCAACACCCCCTGTCTGACTCCCGCGGCTCTCGACTGCAACACACGGGTAGCAGCTGGCGACATACTAAGTTCACAGCGAGCCAAACTCCCCCGGAGAAACGTAACAATCTGCCTCTCATATGACCGTTTGTGTAACATACCCACACAACACCGCGTGACACATCCACTTCCACCAAAACTGCTCTGCGCAATCCAATCACAACCGCACAAAAGCAAAACTCACAACGAGCAACTTACGCTGTCGCTTGCAATCAACCTACACAACCAAACTCGTCCCCGCAACACACAAAGCAGTGTAAAAAAAAACGAGCAACAACTTACTATACTAGCTTACAGTCTCCACAATCACATGCTTTTCCCCTCCTCTCCCCCTTGCCCCCCAAAACCCACTATCGTCAGACCAACCTCAGCCGTCCCCTCCCCAAAAAGCAAAAAACCAAAGAGTCAGATCAAGAACACCCCCCCCCCCCAATTCCTACAACACACCTCCATCCATTATCTTCAAATAAAAAATAAAAAAAAAACTCATCTCCCAAAACCGCCGCATCCCCAGAAAACCTGTTCAGCCCTCCCCCCGCCCCACAAACACTAACCTCAATCCGCAACCGTCGCAAAAAACCCCCCCCAAAAGTCCCTTTGAGCGTTCACGCAAGAAAGCAAGGGCAGCTGCGGCGGCGGCGGGGGGCGGCGGGGGAGGGCGAGGGCCCACCCACAAGGCCAGGCGAACGACGTTCGCTACAATCTACGGCTTGGCTGTTTTTTCTTACTTACCTTGGTGGGGTGGTCAATCAGTGGGCGCCAAAGAGGAAAGAGGGAGCTAAAGGAAGGGGGGGTAGGGAGGTGGGGTGGGGGGAAGGGGACGCCTTACCCGTTATGGTAGATTGGTTTCTTCTTCTTCTTCTCTCTCTTCCGTTTTCTTCCTTTTTCGGGGGGGTTTGGGGTGGAGGCAGAGGCGAGACGCTGATAACAGCCCCCCCCTCCCCCTGCCTGCCTGGTATGCCAATGCCGCGCCACATGGATGATGCCGATGCCCTTTTTGTTTGGTAGCGCGGGTTTGGATGCTGGTGTGTATGTTTGTGGGACAGGTGAGTAACTAGGCAAAATTGAGAGATGAAATAAAACAGAAATGGTGATGATAAGGTAACTTGATTCGGTGTACGGCAAAAACAAGGTAGTTGCGATACTCTTCATTCTTCGTGAGTGCTGTTTGACATCTGCCCAACACAAATCTACGTAGCGCGCCTGCTCATGCGGCACAACGCGATGCAGCACCCGTCAACTATCATGTGCATCCATCACCAACCCTTTTGTCTGTGTCAAAAGTTTACCCACCCACGGCCGACGGATCCACCAACTCAACAACTACATTACAGATGCCATCCGCCCAGACGGCAAACGCCTTTTCTCTCAACACGCTATACCAGTCGTCAGCATTGCGAATATGGCGCCACCCATCGGGCCCGATAGATTTGATGACACAGCGGGAGAGCAGCCTGCTGCCGCTATTGTTG